GCTGACATCACCGCCATCCAAGAAATGCGATGGACGGGGCAAGGTAAAGTAAGCGTGAAGCCTTGCGACGTCTACTACAGTTGCCACGTAAAGGAGCGCAAATTCGGTGTTGGATTCGTGGTAGGAGAGAGACTCCGTCGCCGAGTACTGGCGTTCACCCCGGTGGACGAACGTCTAGCCACAATCCGCATCAAAGCTAGATTCTTCAACATCTCGCTCAAATGCGCCCATGCCCCGACGGAAGAGAAGGATAAGGCGTCCAAGGATCTCTTCTATGAGCGCTTGGAACGTACATATGAGCGGTGCCCCCGACACGATGTCAAAATCGTGCTTGGCGATTTTAATGCCAAGGTGGGCAAGGAAGGGATCTTTGGCGCCACTGTCGGAAAATTCAGCCTCCACGACGAAACGTCCGATAACGGACTGAGGCTGATCGACTTCGCCGGGGCCCGAAATATGGTAATATGTAGTACAAGGTTCCAGCATAAGAACATCCACCAAGCTACATGGCTGTCTCCAGATCGAAAAACGAGAAACCAAATCGATAATGTTGTGATAGACGGAAGGCATGCTTCAAGCGTTTTGGACGTACGTACACTCCGAGGACCAAACATCGACTCGGACCACTATCTTGTTGTAGCCAAGATACGCACCCGCCTCTGTGCAGCAAAAAATGTGCGCCCAACAATGCAAGGAAAGCTTAACGTCGAAAAGCTGCAATCACAACAGACGGCCAATTTATTCGCCACTCGACTCACACACCTGCTCTCTGAGAGCACTCTTCAACAATCCGACGTACGCGAGCAGTGGAACCACATTTCCCGATCATTATGTACCGCCACCGAAGAAGTAGTTGGATTTCAGCGAGCCCGAAAGAACAACTGGTACGATGAGGAATGTCACGAAGCCGCAGAGAAAAAAGATGCCGCCTACAGGGCCACGCTGCGATCGGGCGCAACGCGAGCCATGTGGGACCGTTATAGGGAACTGAAGAAGGAAGCGAGACGTATTTGCCGCAATAAGAAGAGAGAGGCCGAAATACGTGAGTGCGAAGAGCTTGAGATGCTGGCCGACAGGAAGAACGCCCGAAAATTCTACCAGAGGGTTAGGCGACTTACGGAAGGTTTCAAGACCGGGGCGAACTCCTGTAAGAACAACAATGGCGACCTAGTGACCGATGTCCAGAATATACTTAAATTGTGGAGGGAACACTTTTATAACCTACTGAATGGTAGCAGCGCTGAAAGTAATGAGGAAGACGAACCCGAGTCCCCAGTCGATGATGATGGAGTAGCTGTCCCACCGCCTGACTATGACGAGGTACGTATAGCGATTACGCAGCTGAAAAACAACAAAGCTGCTGGAGCTGACGGCCTGCCAGCCGAGCTATTCAAGTACGGCGGCGAGGAGCTGATTAGGTGCATGCATCAGCTCGTATGCAGAATATGGTCAGATGAACGCATGTCCGACGACTGGAATTTAAGCATAGGTTACAAGGTCTTATCGAGCGTATTGTGCGAAAGACTGAAGCTCACCGTCAACGAGCTGATTGGACCTTATCAGTGTGGCTTTAGGCCTGGAAAATCCACCATAGATCAGGTATTCACAATACGCCAAATCTTGGAAAAGACCCGCGAGAATAGGATCGACACACACCATCTATTTGTCGATTTCAAAGCCGCTTTTGACAGCACTAAAAGGAGTTGCCTATACGCCGCTATGTCTGAATTTGGCATCCCCTCAAAACTCATACGGCTGTGTAAAATGACGTTGAGCAATACCACCAGCTCCGTCAGAATTGGAAAAGACCTCTCCGAGCCGTTCGCCACAAAACAGGGTTTCAGACAGGGCGACTCCCTTTCATGTGACTTCTTTAATCTGATGTTGGAGAAGATAATAAGAGCTGCAGAACTGAAGCGCTCAGGAACAATTTAGTACAAGAGCGTGGAATTGCTGGCTTATACCGATGACATCGATATCATCGGTAACAAAAACCGCGAAGTCCGTTCTGCCTCTTGGATAAGGAAGCAAAACGAATGGGTCTGGTGGTAAACGAGGACAAGACAAAGTATCTGCTGTCATCAAAAAAACAGTCAACATATTCGCGCTTTGGCACCCACGTCACTGTTGACAGTTATAATTTCGAGAAAGTAGAGAATTTCAATTACTTGGGAACCAGCATTAACACCGATAATAATGTCAGCATGGAAATCCAACGCAGAATCACTTTTTGCCAACAAGTGCTACTTTGGACTGAGTAGGCAATTCAGGAGTAAAGTCCTCTCTCGACGTACGAAAACCACGCTCTATAAGTCACTCATCATGCCCG